CACGACCCTCAGATTGTGAGTCGAGCGCCTCATCCACCTGGCCATACCGAGCACTTAATTTTTTTTTTTTCTTTTTGAAATTTATTTTTTGGGTTTTTTAATGTATCAATAAGATTTTAGGTAAAAATAATATAGGATTAAGCGTTCGTATTATGTAGTTTTGTAGTTAATGTTATGGGTCAGTAAACCTGGGTCTCCAGTCTATAAATATCTGTTAACTTAACGTTTTGTGATCATAATTAATAAGTTGAATACATTTACTAGACAGCTGTGAAAGTTTAGTAACAATAATCTTTAGAATACAGTGATTCATAATTTTGACTGTTATTTGCAACTCAAAAACTAATCATAATGAATGTCTTTGACGAAATAAAATAGTTTTGAAAATATTTAGTCTCTAACTTTAAAAAACACAAACTGGATACGAATATTATTGAATTATTAATAATATTATACCGTTTAAAACAGTTCGCCCAAGAAGATAAAAATATCTTCGATAGTCAACAGTAGTTATTGACGATAATGCTTATGTCACATATCTATCACCTCAAGTATTGACGACTAAGTATGTAAACCTGAACTGTATGTTTTATGATCTCCAGGCTATTTCTTTTAGTGGAATAACTATTGGAAACCTGTTTAATGCTAGAGCTATACAACGAGTATTAAGAGAAAAAGTACAAGTATCTCGTGCGTTTTATGACTTTTTTACATCAGTATAACTTCGAGGTTATCATAATATACTGTAGAATATGTTTGACAAAAAAACAACTTGGGGCATAAGCAGGTTGAAAGGAAGTTTAATATAATATTCGCAATGAAAACCGAGCCGTTGTCAGGGTTTATGACTCTTATGAAATGATGTATTACAGTACAAATCTTCGCTCACCACATGTTCTCATCTCTTCACGTACTACGCCAGCGGGGATATAAAAATCTATTAGATGGAGTTTCATGTTACCCTTATTGGTTGAACGTAATATCCATAAGAAGTATAATCGTTACCTTATATGAACATTATTAAGACTCAGATTAAAAAATCTTCTACTTCACATTTGAGACAGAAAGTTATTAAGAAAAATCACGAAACTTCGTAAACGAAAAAGTCTTATCAACACAAATCAGCAGGGTTTCTATTCTATATTTTACAATGAAGAGATTCGCGAAACCTGAAGAGTAGAAATATTTTCTCTAAACACATTCATACAATGCTACATCACTCGAAACTTTAAACACGCTACCCTGAATAGCTTCTTTCGATTCAGATCTAATTTTAGATTCTCACCACATGTGGGAAGAATATCTTGTGAAAAGTAGTAGAATATTCTTAAAAACATTGCACATATGTTTGTAAACGTAATAAAGAAGTGGATTTTCTAAAATGAAGTACATTGAAGACAATGTTAAGTTTCTTTT